TAATAAAATTTAATTAAAAAAAGAAATAGAAAAAAAAGAAAGCAATATTGTTTGACCCAGCTATTCCACTATTGGAAGTATACCCTAAAGAAATCAAAAGTTGTGACACAAACAGACATATGTACACCCATGTTTACCACAGTATTATTCACAATAGTAGAGAGAAGGAAACAGTCCAAGTGTTCATCAATAGTTGAATGGAATGATTTTTAAAAAATACTATGCAACCTGAGAGAGGCTGGAGAACATTATATTGCGTAAGCTAATGCAGTCTTATAAGGACAAATACTGCATAAGACCATTATTGTAAATATAGAGGGATAACTATTAAAACATGTATGTGAACTCAAGATGGGGTAGGGGTGGAAGCAGAGTAGTGAGGATAGGTAGGGAAGAAACCACAGGGTTACACAGTTTGGTGGGTGGAGGGAGGGGGGAAGGAAATGGGAAGGATCTGGGTGAAAAGACAGGTAATAATGGAAAAGTCCAATGGTGATTAATTTTATAAAACATAATGCATGAGAGAGCTGGACAATGACTAAGGATGACAGAATAAGAATTGATTCCTTTGAATTATGGTGCTAGAGAAGAGTCTTGAACATACCATGGACCACTAAGAAAACAAGTCAGTCTGTTATGGAGAGGATGAAACCAAATTTCTTCTTGGAGACTAGGATTTTGAAGCCCCATCTCACATACTTTGGGCATGTGGCCAGGCGGGACCAATTCTTGGAGAAGGACATCATGCTTGAAAGGGTGGAGGGACAGCACAGGAGAGGAAGATCCCAGATGAAATGGATTGATACAGTAACTGGGGCAATGGGAGTAGGTGTGTTGGAGTCAGTGAGACTGGCTCAGGACAGAGCAGGCTTCAGAACTGTTGTACATAGGATTGCTATTAGTCTCAGGTGACTCAATGGCACATAATAAAACAACAACAAAAACAATGCATGAGAAAGATTATATGAAACACAATGTGAATGAAGAATAGTGTGAAACACAATGTATACTAACTTTGTAGTAAGACAAATAAAAAAGAATATTCTTTAAAAACCCACAATACAACTATTGTACATTCACACAATGAATATGCAACATTGGAAAGCAATAAACTCATAAAACACTATGAAACATGGGTGAGTCTGGAAGAGAGTGTGCTGATGAAACATTTTGTTCACAAAAGGACAAATACTGCATAAGGCCACTGCTGTAATAATAATGGGATTGTTCTGGGAGCAGGGAAGGGAAGAGCAGGAAAAGTCTGGATAGATAATGAAGAGTGCACTGGAATGGGCGAGAGGAAAGACAATCTGAAAGGAATGGGCAATTAGAAATTCTGAGTATGCCAGTTAATAGCCTGGAACTAGGCAAGCATTACAAAGGGAATTGGGAGAAGAGGAGGAACGGAAATTGAATGCATGAATGGATGAAAACGAACCTCTTTGTAAATCTTCTCTAAAATTAAAAAATTAGTGAACAATTTAGAACTTGTTAATAACTGTTAACAATAAGTAGCTATTTTTGCAAAAGTTAATAGAGCAGGGCTGTAATTTGTTTCTTTTTGGTATATTCACACAATGGAATACTATGCTGCACTGAAAAACAAGGAACTCATGAATTATTATACAAAATGGGTGACATTATGCTGAGTGAAATATCTCAGTCACAAAAAAGACAAATACAGTATAATGCCACTGTTATAAAACAGGACTGACATGGGGACTGAGGGGAAACTAAGAAAAGAGGGAATAAATAATCTACATGGCATTGAAACAGATGAAGGAGAGAACTGTATAAAAGGAATATATGATTAGGTATTATTTTCATGACAAGATTCCAGAAAAAGAAATGCATAGTAAAGTAGACTGTGGGCCATGGAATTTGGGGGGGGTTGTATAACAATAATTTTTTTTTCTTTTCAAAGAGAAAAGCAAACTGGGGGAGGGATGGGCAGGGAGGAAAATGTGCAACAACAAATGAATGGGGGAGAATTAAACAGGAAGAACATGTGGTAAAAATTATTGAAAGATAAATTCTGTGAAATTCTGCGGTCTTTTTAAAAAAAAATATGGAATTCTTCAATGTCATCCTTGTTCAGGGGCCATGCTAATTTTTTTGGTATTATTCCAGTTTTGGTATATGTGCTGCTGAAGCAAGTACAAGAAATTTTATTTTCATTTTCTACCTTCCTTCTTTCTCACCTTTGTGTCTTCTCTCCCTTTCTCTTATTTTAAAATTGAAAAACAAAACCCTTCATACTCAAAAGAAAACATCTTTTAGAGCTGGTTCCTTTGCTAGCAGGGCCAGGGAATGGGTCAGACCTCTTACCGTTGAAGGGGTTGTCTCCTCCAAAGAACTCATGGAAAACTTTCTCAGGATTGCCGTGGAAGACGTAGCCAGCTGTCCATGGAGTCTGTGATCCAAACTCCAGAGGGATCCCGCCCTTCAGGCCCTCCTCTCCAAACTTGTCATAGATGCCTCTCTTCACAGCTGTGGAAACGTATCACCTTGAGGAGGGTCCAGCCTTGGGGGCTGGATGCATGGTGGGGGCTAGGAAAACCAAGGTTATGGAAAAGGGCAAAACCAACTGTATTCCCCAAATTCCTGCTGTCAGGGGATCTGTGGGACGAAACTCTAGAAGTTAGGGGTTTAATTTTATCCTCAGTGCACCTAATTACTTTTCCTGTTGTTCAAAAGAAAGATGGAAAATAAATGCTTGCCGGGAACGGGGCATGGACTTAGAGGGAGAAATGACCAAGAGTGGTTCTCAGTGTGAACTCATTCATTATAATTACAGTGTTATCTGGTATAAATTGCATCCTAGAGTCTTGGAACCTCAGAATCTAAATATTCTAGAGCCTTCAAATTCTAGAAAATTGCAATCCCTATATGAAAATTCAGTTGGTGAGACCTTGGTGATTGAGCCATTTTCCTACACAGTGCCCATGAGTAGTCTCCAGAACAAGCTCTTAGACAAACCCAAGTGGGCACAGTCCCACTTGGGGCTGGAGGCCACCCTTTTCTCCTGGTTTCTATAGGAGAGATATTTCCTATTTTCTATTGGTCTCTCTCCATTGCATTATCAAATCTGGTCCTTAACAAGGTGAAAGCAGCTACTTGGTAAAGTTTGGAAGAATAACTGGGTACACCTGCCTCGCCTTTGGCTTCCTTCCCTTTACAGCAAGCATCTCAGCCTCTCGATCTGATCCTTGAGGGGGAGGGTGGACTCCTGCAGGGAATGGGGGTGTGTAGTGATGTAGAGGGGTACAGCCAGTCCCTGATCTGCATTTCTGTGACTGAGAGAGCAGATGAGCCCCAATTCCAAGGCCTCGGTGTCTCTGTACTGTCAAGTCCTCTACCTACCTTGTGTCTACTATTAAAGGAAATAGTTTATCCTGCCTTCTGAGTTTGTTTAGATTCTGGGCAAAGAAGAGGAGACATAGAATAGATATACTCTATTGATCCCACTGAAAAATACTCCAGAACCATAAGATCTCATTTGAGAGGTCAGGGACAAAAGGTGTCCTGGAGTAAATACACCCTCCACCTGTCCAATCACTCACGGTCACTCAGCACATCGTAGGCCTCTGCTATTTGCCTGAATATCTCTGCAGATGCTGGCTCGCTTGACCTCAGCGGGTGGTTCTGAAGAGCAAGTCTCCGGTACCTAGGAGGGGAAGGAACGATACAAGTCATACCTGCTGGTCTGTTTTTAAGGGGCAGACCATACTTCAGATCTGGCTGTGCTGTCTGCTTTAGTAGCACCCAGAGCTCTCAAGTTCCCAGGTGCAAATCAGGAATGATAACCGTGACCTCACTGGCTGTGGTGGTCATGGAGGTGCAAAGTTTGGATCTCCTCTAAAAGACCCTGGTATAGGTGGTGAAGGTGACTGATCACCCAACTGAAGATGCTCTGGACATATGTGCCAGGTCTTCCAAGCTGCTCTCCAACAATGACTTCCCAAGAAGGACACCCCAGGGGTGGCTGTCCGGTGAGATGTGGGAATCTTCCAACAAGGACTCTCTGCTTGAGGTCTCTTGCAACAATGTTAGCTCCCTCCCCTTACCCTTCACAGGTGGTGTCCTGATACTGCTTTTGCACATCAAATCCTACGGGTGTCTGCTTCTCGGAAGAACTGAACTTACACATAAACTAAACTGATGAGTCATCCATATCAGCATGTGCTGTTCACCCAAAGGCTGCACTCCTCTGTTGGTTCGAACCCACCAGCTGCTCTGCAGGAGAAAGGCAATCTCCTCCCATGAGATTTATGCTTTTATATACCATTGACTTGGAACCAACCCCTAGAGGATGTGACTGCTCCTTTTTCTCCTGCGGAGTAGCTGGTGGATTAAGCGCATGCATTCGGGTTAGTAGCGCAACACTAGGCCATAACCTCAAAAACCCACTGGAGGACATGCTGTGAATTGGTTCTGACTTGATGGCGATGAGAGCTCAAAAAGGTGTATAAAGAGGCATTCAGTAAATGTTGGGTTTATTTGCCATGTCTCCCAGCTATGTCCATTGTTTCGCACTTCTGTATCTACCCACTTCCACTAATTAGTGCAGCAATGCCACTAGCATCTGAGATCTGGATCACCAGTGTTCCAAGAGGAAAGAGACTAGTATGAATTTAGTAATTCTGAGTAATACTGGACCATATTCATCAAATGTAGTGTAGGGTGGATAGAAACCACAAGCCATAGTGTAGTAACCTGACGCTGTAACCAAGGCACCCCTATTGTCCTGATCCTAGAGGACTAAGTGGAAGGAGTATTACTGAAAATTTGTTGTTATGTGCCATCGAGTTGCCTGTGACTCATAGTGACACTGTGCACAACAGCCCTGCTCTATCCTGTGCCAATCTTATTGTCTCTGACACACCTACCCTCATTACCCCAGTCACTGAGTCAATCCGTCTCATCGAGGGGTTTCCTCTCTTGCGCTGCCCCTCCACCCTCCCAAACATGATGTCCCTCTCCAAGGACTGGTCCCTCCTTGCAGCATGTCCAAAGTAGGTCAGATGAAGCTTCAGACGGAGAGAATATAAGGAAAGGGTCTTGGGAAGAGTTGTGACTTTCACTTAAGAGACACATCCATCCAAAAAGACCTCAAAGGAAGGGAACTAGGAAGACAGTCTCTAGCTTCACTCCTTTCCTTCCCTTCCTCCCTCGTTCCCTCCCTCTCTTCCTCTCTCCCTCCAGTCTCCTGCCCCAGATCTCCTTGAGCAGGATTCATGAAGAAACCAGAGGTCTAAGGAAAGCTGACTGCCACATCTTTCTCTTAAAGAATGGCTGGGGATTCAAACTGCTAACTTTCTGGTTAGCAGCAGAGTACTTAACTACTGTGCCACAGGGCCATAAAGACTGTTGTTAGATGTCATCTAATTGATTACAACTCATATGAACAATAGATCAGAACTTGCTCTGTCCTGCACCATCCTCACAATCTCCAGCATACTTGACCCCACTGTTACATTCACAGTGTCAAATCCATCTTGTTGAGGGTTTTCCTCTCTTTCTCTGACCCTCTACCTTTCTCAACTCAGCATGATGTATATTTCAAAGGACTGGCCCACCCTGACAATATGTCTAAGTATATGAGACAGTTTCACACTACCCTGCCTCAAAGAAGCATCTTGGTTGCACTTCTTTCAAGACGACAGGCTAGGAAACTATGAGCAGTCCTACTCTGTCATATAGGGTCACTCTGAGTCAGATTTGACTTGATCACACACAATACTTACTTTCCAGTGTTCAAGTTGTACCTATCTTTTTGTAGGATGGCAGCCCTCACTTTTGGTGACCTTCCTCTAAAACACCCCAGGGAAATGGATAACGTTATATACTGTTTTGAATTTTTCTGTTTTAGGAATTTGTGCTATTTCTTCAAGTACATTGTAGATATTCTTCTTTTTCTCTGCTTATAGGATCCACATATAGAACCTGGCCGTAGGCGGAGCCCATTTTAAGACAACCGTGGTCGGCATGGTGTCTGAATAATGGTTCTACCATTTGCTAGGGAGCTCTGGTGACTTAGTGGTAAGGAATTGTGCTGCCAACCCAAAGATACACAGTTCAAATCATCAGCTGCTCCATGGGAAAAATAGGCACTTTCCTGTGCAATTTACTATCTCAAAAAACCCATGAAGGGTCAGCTATGGGTCGGTTCCTATTCTATGGTACTCAACAACAACCACCATCTCTGCTAGGTGCATGGCCTTGGGACATAATGCTTTGTACCTGTCTAAGCTGTCATGAGAATGGAAAGAAATAGTTACGGAAGGTTCTCAGAACAGCATTTGCATACTCAATAAGTCTAATTCATACCACTCAGTGTCGATTGATTATTTTAGATTCCTTTTTCATCATCTTCCAGTGGTCCAGTTAGCTGCTAAGTTCATTCCTCCTCTCTTTACCCTACTTACTGCCTTACATCAAGACTCCTTTTTTGCCTTGCTAACCAGGACAGCCTCCTACGGGGTCTCTCCCTTTCACAGAAGCTTCAGCGCAACCCTGTGCTTGCTTTCCCTTTTCTGACCTTCATCGCAGTTGTGGTGACACATATCTACATCCATCAACAAAATGAAATTGCCTGAAGAATGGGACCATATCTGTCCAGTTCACAATTAGGGCTCCAGCTGCCAATATGGGGCCGAGCCCATGTGGTAGGTGCTAGCCATATGGTAGATTTATAAAAACACAGAACAAAAGCCTTTTAAAATCACAAAGAACCCAAACTTTTTTGGGGGAAAAAATGACCAATTCCTGTCCTAGATGATTTTCTTTGGAATGAATCACAAAACCCCAAAGACTTGCACATACTCAGAGGGGCTGTTTGCTCAATGCCCCAAACCCATTTAATGGCCAGAATGAAATTTATCATGGATCCATTTAATCAGTTCACTTCCTGTTCAAAATATTTTCTTTCTCCAGAAGATTAAAATCAAGTTCAAAGACCTCTTTTGTTCCCATTTCATTGTCAGGATAGCTAAGAGAGGAGCCAGGGATAGAGGACAAAGGTAATGGTTTGAGAACAGACTGAGGAATTAAGATGTTCAAATTTCTAGTTTGAGTCCTGGCCCAACCCAAAGCCAGGATATAGCCATGCACAAAGCAAGCTTGCCTGCCCTCAGTTATACAGAAAAAACTCCTTAGGAAGAGATGAGGACTGGGCCTACACTGGCACATCCCAAAGCTGGGCTGATACCCCAACTTACGCCTTCTTGATTTGGGCATCCTCTGAATTACGACTGATCTCGAGCACAGAATAATAATCTTGGCCCATAGCTGGCCGACTGGCTGTCTGTAGATAATAACAGTCCAGACTCCAGCAAGGCAGTTTGTCTGCATTCCTTGGTTGCTCCTGACAACTGCACCAGGGCACTTTGGGAGTTGTAGTCCTTCTTTCTCTCCTAGACAAACCACTTCCTAGAGAACCAAGGAAAAGACTGGGAGAAATGGGGCTGACAGTGATCAGTCAGCTCAAAACTGGAGAGAATACAGTTTTATTTTAGCTTTGTTTTCAAGGAGAGCAACAAACCAGGCATATAAATATCATGGTACAGGGCCCAGCAGTGGTGGTAGAGTGGGATGATATAGATGCTATAGACGCCTGGGTAGACACTAGAGCCTTCCAGCTGAGGCTTGTGGCTGGCCCAGTAAGGCAACATGCCAGATGATGGTATTAAGATCACAGCAATGAATCTGCTGGATCTTTGGAGGACAGCTGCCTGGCCAACTGACTGGAAGAGATCCACATTTGCTCCCATTCCCAAGAAAGGTGATTCATCAGAATATGGAAATTACCGAACAGTACCACTAATATAGAGAGCTCTAGTGGTAAATATCGGGCCTGCGACCCTCAGGCCAAATGTTAATTGATTTGGGATGAACAGTTTTGTAAATGGTTCAACAGTGGTCTGTCTATTTGCTGTACTAAAGTAACTTGGAGTTGCTATAATACTGAACAACTGGGCCATGTTGTGGTGGTGTTGTTATGTGCCATTGAATCGCTTGCAACTCACAGCGACCCTGTGTACAACAGCCCTAAACTCTGCTCTGTTCTGTGCCAATCGCACTGTCACTGATACACCCA